CTTAAGAGTTTTATCGAAACCCACTTTATCTTCATATCTGCTATAGTAGTTATTATAATTCCCATCGTCATACCATGGACTCGGTACTTTCCCAGAGGTTTCTCCAGGATCGTCAGTGTGTATCGCCAGCCTTAGCAACAAGCTTTAGCTCATCAAAATGACTAGTGAAATCAATCTCTTGACCAACTTTCTGTCGACACAGTTGTGCTATCACTCCTCTCTCTTTCCTGGCTTATTTATCTACTTTCTACCCTCGTCTCACTATCGCCCTATAACGACTTCTTATTTATATTCATCCTCTTGAGATATGCCCTTTTTTGGCGAGTTCAGTTTGGCGTCATCACACTTTAGGTTTACTTTGCCCTCTGCTTCTCGATTTCTTCAGACTCCATTCATCAGCCCTTACACTCCTTTCTTATCTTTTTGTTTGACTGATTTCACTCGGTTATAGTCTTTATGCACGTTTTACTCCATGCGCAATTTTTTAGGCCTTTAGAAACATGTACACTGCGCCTCACTGAGCAGATGGACTAGGCTCTGATTGCAATGCTTGCAGATAGCAGGCACAGTCTCCACGGCTCATTATAACATCCTATATGGATTGTAGATCAAAACTCACCAATAATTCGGTTGTTTACCGAAGATACACAACGAAGAGGGACCACCTATGCTCATTGTCAACAAAAAGTATGGAGCTACACACAAATGGACAAAAATCATATGCTTGAAACTCAAGAAGTGAAGTATTCATATGAATTTTCTCAAAGGATCAAAAAGGTGACCATGGAAGGAACATAATTATTGTTAGGTTTTGATGTACAATATATGTATATAAACCTGTCTGGAGAAAAGGCGCTAACAGCCCTGTTGAAGATCTTGGACCGAGAAGGGGATATCCAGGAGTCTTTGACACGACTAATCAACTTGGCAATAAGGACTATCTTCTTCATTTTCAGCGGTTATATCTATGTACAAATATTTGGACTTCCTATAGAATCGCCGCTCTCACCCCTTTTGGCAAACGTATGCATCAATTTTAAAGCGTCACAGCTGCAATCAAGAGTTCTTATAGAGTAACTGTATCAGCACTTCGCACTTTCGCCGTACGAAAGATTGGACGTGAGATCTATTGAAAGGCGACAGAAAAAAACGCTTCGTGTGGTGAAAGAACAAGTAAATGAAAGATTATAGATAAATTTAATGGGCGTGAGATTTGAAGAAGGCAGAATTGTGGATAACTTTGCCTATTGCTTAGATAAACTCGAAGAAAACAAATAGTAGATATGAAGATCAAGATGGTGTGGCCTTCTGTTTGTTCACAGTCTCCTTTAGCTTTATAGTGTTGGTTCGACCTTGCCTACGCAACTTGGTCGGAGCGTCAGAGAGAGAACTTGTGAAACATACCTAGTTCCTTGTCCTCTGCCATAGTATTCGTGGTTTCCAGCATTTGACTATTAATTTCATACATTCCCAAACGTTTAGCGGGCATCGTAGTCGACCAGGACATGAGTTTTGAGTTAATCTTTTCGGCAGAATTTTGGTCGTGACGTTAACTTTGCTTGTCTCTTCGATGAGTTCTAGCAGAGTGCAAAGCATGGCAAGACTCACTGACGATGTCGGCGAAATATCTCTAAGTGTACCAAGTCCACATTCCAACTTCAATAGCAGGGCACTTTGGACGAGTTGAATCCAACTAGGGGCCCTTGGAAAAGTGACCAAGTTGCGAAAACGAAGCCATGCAATTTTTTACGCCTTGAAGCTTATTTTTTAAAAGTCACTTTAGCAAAATATGCTTACATTTCCAGGATGGCTATTTTATTTATTTATTTATTTATTGTTATGCTATTCACTTAAGTTTCTTATTTTTTTCAATTCATAAATACGATAAGGTATAGAAATTTAATCGAAGGTATGAAGACCAAGATGGTGTGGCCTTTGTGGGTTGGCACATCAGAGACTAGGACATAGCAAGTGATAGTCATGGTATTACAGATAGAAACAGGAAAGACACGGCGGAGACTAAAGCTGTTTGGCTAACAATAGACGTGTTTGATCTTAAACTTGATCTTTGAATCACGACTATTGTTAGTCAACCAACTTTAGCTTTCAATGTTTCTATCCTTTTCTATCTATAATACCAAGGCTATTACTTCATATGCCCTAGTCTCTTGTGTGCCAACCCACCAACGTTGTGCTTCAACATTGAAACTAACCAAAGCAAGCAGTACCACAACATTTGTGGGTTGGCACACAATAGACAGTCATAGACTTGGTATTATAGATAGAAACAGGATAGACACAGCGGGGACCGGAGCTAGTTGGCTGACGGTCACTCGGTTGTACCAGAGATGTGGTTCATGTAGAAAAGGGGTGATGATGACACTCAGAGGCTTGAGCCTCAAATTAGTCACCCGGACGCAGGTGAGTGCGAATATCGCTTCGAGTAGGACAGATGTTTTGGCAGGAGTCGAGTGAAATAGGTGAACAAGGGGTAGAA